AAGCAGATGGTAAATGATCATTTTAGAGGGGAAAATTTACCCAATGCAGAAGCTAGGAGATTTTATGATATGTTGGATGCTGGAAAGCAACCTTTGTATGAAGGTTGCAGAGATGGTCATTCAGCTTTATCATCTGCAACAAGACTGATGAGCATTAAATCTGATTATAATTTGGCTGAAGACTGTGTGGATGCGATTGCTGATTTTGTAAAAGGTGTTCTACCCACTATAAGAAATATTGGTATTGATAGCACCCGAAAAACGCTACTGAAAGGTTTTCGTAGCTTTTCGAAGAACGCCGTGACAGCCGCAGCTATGGTAGACCCTCGTCCTATCATAGCGTATTTTCGTGTGCTATAAAAACTAGAGATATTATAGCATTTATGTTTCGTTATATTAAGATATTTTAATAACACCGTAATTTTGCTATTATATAATTTACTATGACATTTTGCATATGCGATAAAATAATTTATAATGACATATTTATAATGCTATAAGTAAAATAAAATAATTATAAAAATGTTAAATTAATTATTAAAATTTAATTAATTAACAATAATTAATGAATAAAATAATTAAAAATAAATTCCAAGTTAATTCATAAAATAAAAAATTTATTTTATTTATTGATTAAAATCAGTATACAAATAATCAAAACAACCAAAATACATTAAACCAAAAAATAATTAAAACAGATTAAACTAAACCTAATTAACCAAAACCAAACCTAATTAGCCCAAACCCTAACTAATCTTTCGTCTTCTCTAGCAATCATGGTCATCGTAGCTTCAGCCACCACCAACGTAGGTTCAGCCACCACCAATGTCGAGTCTGAGTAGCTTCAGTCTCCGTCGAGCTTCATCATCTCGAGCTCCGTCGTCTCTCTGTATCGCCGTCACTTCCGCTTCACCTCCTCCACTGTAGCTTCAGCCGCCTCGATCCTTCCAGCTTCAAGCCACGGTTAAGCCGTCACTTCCGCTTCACCTCCTCCGCTATAGCTTCAGCTGCCTCAATCCTTCCAGCTTCAAGCCGCCTCCTCACTTGATCTCACTGGATCTTTTGCTTTCAACCTCAAAGCCGTGGAATGTGAACTTAACTCCTATAAGAGAAGAAAAACAACAAAATCTGATATGGTCAAACTTTGATAACAAAGAACTAAGACTGTTTAACAAACTTATTTGTTATCACATACATAACTAAAAACCTGTTGTGATGCTCATTCTCAATTGACTCAAGCTCTCCCTCGAAAAATAACAACTCTTGCTTCCATCACGCTTGTACCCATCAGACTTGGTTCTGATTAGTTCTTCCTGTAAACCACAAAAACCAACATCATACAAGAAGGCAGACGATATGTAAAATAGCAAAAAGGAGAGACCTTTGGTGGTGGTGATGAACACTGCTACGGAATCGAAGAGCCTCTTCGCATGTCTTCTCCAAAACATCTCTGTCTGACCCGTTTCACTTCTATGAGTAAGACGAGGTTCGATCGAGGGCGTGAAAAGGATAGTGGTGGTGACCGGCCGTCGCGTCTTCTCCTCTCTCTACCATCTCCATCTCTTCTCTATTCTCTCCGTTTCCTCTTTTTCTATCTCTCTCGTCGCTAACCCAGATCTGCTCAAATCTCAGAAAGTAATTAAAAAACAAATGAAAAAACAAGTTAATCTCAAGCGTTGATTTGATACTATCAAACGGTGCAGATGGTCATCCGCGCCTGACCAATAGAAAAAAAGGACGGGGATAGGTAGAAGAATTATTTTGGCCTTTGATCTAAACACATCAACGGCTCAAAATAAACAATACAAATTCTCTTTTTTATTTATTTATAGTTATTATAAAAACTATCTAAAACTTTCAATAATTAAAAAAAATTTAAATCTAAATTTTGGTATATGTTGTGTGATTGATTAAAATATTAAAATTTGAAACTTAATTTTTTATGATATAGTTTAATATGTTGGAGTTTGAGTTTAGGGTTTAGGGTATAGAGTTTGATTGAAGATTTAAGGTTTATGTTTTGTAAGTTATAACTTAAGATTTTTCTTTTTGTTTTATGATATATTTTAATATCCTTAATGTTTATGACATAGTATTGTTGTTTGTAGTTTACATATATAAATGTTAATATAAAGTATGTTGGTTTAGGTTAAGAGTTAAGATTTATACTAAGGGGGGCTTATTGGAATAGGGGTTTGAGAAGGTTTTAAAGATTTTGAGTTTTGGTGGAACTCAGAGAGTTTTAGTTGAATTCAAGGATTCTGGTGGGGCTTTAGTAGTAGAATTTGGTAGGATTTGATAAGATCTTTTTTTAATATTTCAATAGAAAGTTAACCATTCAGACTATTTTCCAGCACTGATTTATTTCTACTTTCTCGATGTCCACCTTTGTACACTGAAAGAAGAGTGAACAAGTCTCCATTATGGTTGCAGAATTCAACAAGTCTCCGTTGTATATATGACGAAAACTTAAAAACGGCGTTTCAATAGTTTGGAAAGCATAAAAAAATTACACATATCATGTTTTTCTTTCTTAAAAATCCAAAATAAAAGTTCACAAACTACTTTTCTTCACAACGACTTAGCTTTATTTTGGTGTAGTCTTGTGCCCTGCCAACACAGAATTGAAGTTTTATTTTGAGTGTCTTTTTTTAACCATCGCACAGATATCAACCAAGTAACACACTGTGATATATTAATATCATTGTTAACCATAACTATTTAGCAAACACACAAAAACTTATAACTTACTTTATGCGTATATCACCGCTGAGATCCACTAGCAATAGCATCATTCCACATATTTGAAGCAATTGTTGTTCTCCATTCATTAGCAAGTTCTCTTTGCTGTTCTTGTGTGCCAAGAAACTGATGACCACTAGTACTTGATTGGGTAATACTTTGTTCAGCAGAAACTTCTTCTGGAGGAAATTCATCTGAACGACATTTCTGGCGGAGATAGTTATGCAATGCAGCACATGCAAGCACTAATTCTGCTTGCGTCTTATATGGAAAACTAGGTGCAGATTTGAATATCAAAAATCTAGATTTGAAAATACCAAATATCCTTTCGATGACATTTCTTAAACATGCATGACGATGGTTGAATAGTTCCTCTTTATTTCTTGGATCACTATCTCCTCCAGTAAATTCCTTGAGATGATAACGGGTACTTCGAAATGGAGTTAGAAAATTTTTCCGGTTAGCATATCCACAGTCAGCGAGATAAAATTTGCCTGAAATATTTTTCAAATACAATATAAATAAAAAATTTGAAAATGTGAATACAATAATGTATCTTAAACACACATGTTGATCTCTTTTGGTATAGGATGATGCATGTACCTTCGGGGACTTCAAATTTATTGTTACTTCTCGTTAGAGCATCATTTAACACCTTTGCATCATGAACTGAACCTTCCCAACCAGTAAGTACATATATGAATTGCAAATCGAAATTGCATGCAGCTAGCACATTTTGGGATAAGAATCCTTTTCTGTTTCGATAGCTAGCAGTTTCATTTCCTACCACCATAGCAGGAATATGTGTTCCATCAATAGCTCCAATACAATCCTAAAATATAAATAAAATTATTAATGGATATAACAAACCAAAAAAAAATAAATTTTACATACCTTAAAGTAGGGATAAAATCTCGTGCTTTCTCTTATTTTTGAAGGCACACCATTACCTGGTTTAGCCATCAAACTTGGACCAATGCTGTTTATCGCCCTTAAGATTTTATTAAAACTCTGACTTATTGCGAAACTCGATCTCTTGAACACATCTCGAGGAAGAATATATCTCGTGCTCTGGCCAACAATGAGCAAAAATGTGGCAAGCATTTCCTCAACTGAAATCCATCTCGTATCTCTTAAAGATGTTTTTTCTCGGATAAGAGTGCATAAATCCAAGAAAACATCTGGATACATACGATATAAACTTCGAAAATGTTCTGGATCTTCAGTTAAAACATTTTGTATATATTCATTTTGTATATATTCATTTAACCAAAGATTCTAGAGTTTCAGATCGATGAAAGCTTTGTTATATCGTACACAGTGCTGCACATACCAAAGAAGATCAGAGAGACAGAGGAGATAAACTTCTTGTATCAGAAAGGGATTTCTAGAATAAAAGAGCTTTGGTGTGTGGAGATTGCATTGGAACGACGTCAAGATGGTGAGATTTGGGGTAAATTTGAGTGGTCCGATGTTGTAATTGTTGGTGATTTTTGGTTAATAGAATCTCTAGTTGCTATGTTTTTGATGAAAGAAGCTCTATGTAACATTCTAGTTTGTTGCATATCGGGTAAACAAAAAAACTCAAGCTTCTCCTTCCACATAAAAAGATAGAACGAGGAAGAATAGAGGTTTTCAAATTTTCCAACACGTTAATCATCTCCTCTCGTTGATTTTTTAAAATACCATCGATGTAGATGGTATTCTTTCTTATTGAATTTAAAGGGTAAATGATGTTTTCTAATAACCCAAAAGAACTTTTTATGAATCCCATTGATGAAATCCATATTTTACAATAAGAGGAGATTTGATAGGTTTTCTACAAATGTTGTATCCAATAACCATGGATTTGTAAAGGTTTTTATAAATATCATATTCAATAAGGGAGGATTTGACAAAAACCTATTTTTTAATGAAATCCCTAATTCAATAAGCCCCACTAAGTATATAGTTTGAATTTTATGATATATTTGGAGTTTAAGTTAAAAATTTATATGATAATTTTGAAAAGGTTAGATTTATGACTTTGTATGTAGGGTTTAACTTTGGGGTTTAGGGTATTGGATTTAGGGTATTGGATTTAGGGTTAGTTTAAAATTTAATGTCTGGAATTTATATTTAAAACTAAAGCTATTATGAAAGAATTGGAATTTTAAAATTTATATTTTAAATTTGTTAAACATGTTTAGGGTTTTGTTTTTTTTTTGTTTTCGAAATTACACAAACACAAATAAACAAAAAATATTATTGTACATGTAAATTTGTTTACAATATTACCATCGGTTTAAACTAAAAAAAATTGGTTAACACTAAAATAATTTTCAAAAGAAAAAATATAAACCTAATCTAAATCAGAGACTAATCTAAGTATAATACTTTTATGTATATTTTTTTACGGCTAATTCTACACTCTAACTTGTCAAGCTCGGCATAGATTAACATTCATTATCAAGCTCTAATCTCTGCTCCCATCTCATCTTCTCCAACCAGCTTCTAATCTTCTTCAATATCAAAACTCTGATCTGTTCCTACGGATCATAATCCTTAATAATGAGCTTCTGCATTAAGAGAGACTCCAAATACTTTCTCAACAGACTTGTTTTCTCTGTAGTTAATTCGTCATCCTTTTTCTTCAAGTCATCTTTCAGAAAATGAACAAACTTATCCAATATCTGCAGCAAAAGTATCATGTGTTTAAGAACACAGAAACACATGAACACAAACTAATTAAATACGATCTATCTATCAATACCTGAAAGATAATATCCCATTATCTTTGCGCCATACTTTGCCATCAATAGGAGAGCTTACCTTAACACAATTTCTTTCTATCTGCAACTCTACGCTATGTCATAAAGAATAGAACAAAATCCAAAGCCAACAGACAATATCATTAAGAAACTACACTTATATTTGGTTATGGCCTGGGAGGACACTTTCGTTGACCAGAAAAACAGAGTTCAAAGACACTGATTCCACAGATAGAGACCAAACTAATAATGAAATTAATCCATTGCTTTAAGAGAAAAGAAAAAGCTTTGAAAAGGAGAGAAAGACATACAAGTATTAGCTGAGATGACTAATATTAATAAACATGACTAACGAGATTGAAGACTTGCACTTGATAAAAGTAAAACTACGCCATTGCCTCTAAGCATATTCCAAAATGCTTAACAGATGAGACTGATTCAATAACAATCACCTTTCTTGGATTCTCCTTGTGCGAGATATACATGTTTCATACCTTGGGTGGGCTCATGACGAGACTGGTCAGAATCTGACCAGAGATGTTGGAGAAAAGTGATAGAGTCTTGATATCCTGAACTCCATGAAACTCTCCTCTGCACATGCCAAGTCCGTGTAAATGTTTTTGATGTTTTAAGCAAAACTATAATGTTTTCAGCAAAAGTACAAACCTTTAAGAGCTTTGTTGGCCTGATTTTTCATCTACTCGGCCCAGGAAACATCAGAGCTCTCACTCTTAGTCTCCATATTATCAGAATGACCTTATCTCTTACTAGACCTTGGTGTCTTAGTTACCCAATGAAGCCAGAACTGATTGAAAAGAAAAAAAAACAATTATCACAATCAGATGGCATGCTAACAATAATCATAATAACAATCGCTACTTAAACTCAATTCAGTTCTACTTAACAAGTGAACTAGTCTAAGAGCTTTGAAGATTGCAATCATACTCAGCGTAAATAAAGTTCAAATCTGTAGAGCTTTAGACACATATAACAAGATCTGTAGCAGGAACAGAGCTCATTCATACACACCAATAAGTTGAAAATCGCACAAAGATCCAAATCCAGGTACAAACAACACAGTGCATAGCATAAAGTTGCGAGCTTTAATATCAGAAGACCTCAAATCTGCATATCTAAGATGTCTAGAAATCAAACTACCAAGCAAGAATTCGAACCAAGTCATCCAAGTCATAGTCATATATTTCCACATAAAGAGTAATAGCTGAGAATCGAGTCATGGAAGCACTAACCTTTACCTGATCATTTCTGGGAGTAAGAATCAAGAGGAAGCGGTAGCAGCAAGACCATCAGTGGAGAAACCTTCTCAGGAAGAGAGCACGAGAACTTTGAAATTTATAAACGATTTAGCGATGAGTAACCAACATCCTCTTCAACCTTATCTCTTCAAGACTCAGATATCGACAACTTCTAGAGTTTAGCAGAGATGAGAAAGCTCCAGTGGAACTGAAAAGACGAGAAAGGGAGACGGCAAAGCTCATGGTGGTGAAGAGCGACGGAGGAAGTCAGAATTAGGGTTCGGTTCCATCAGTGTCTCCGATTGGCATGGAATTAGGGTTCCTAAGTTTTGATTTTGAACAAGGTGACATCAGCGTCTTCGATTGGCATCAGACTGATCGAGAATAATCTGATTCGCTCATTTTTTCCAACAAAGAATCAGATATGATTGAAGAAGATGACGGGAGGAGAAAAAGATATATATGAAGTAAGAAAGAAGAACAAAAAAAATCCATCGTTAGAGGAGAGAGAGAGAGAAAATAGACGGAATAATGAATTATTTTTCTAAGTGTTGGCGCACAAAAACGAAATTTTCGCACCAAAGTGTTTATTATAAACAAAATCTGTGATTTTTGTGTTCCCGCATAGTAATATTTTTTCATAGCGTGAATTCATTGCTATAACAGAGCTGGCTCCGATTTTTGGTACTTTTAATAGCAGTTGGTGAATTCGTGCTACCGCAAACTGCTACCAATACTCATATTTCTTGTAGTGACCTGAGGATAATGTTGCCCCTGGTTCATACTACGAGGTTCAGAAACTGGTAGCTGGTCTTGGTCTATCGTATCAGGTAATAGATGTATGCAGGGATAACTGCATGATTTATTGGAGGGCGGATGAGCAGCTGGTTACATGCAAGTTTTGTGGGAAGGGTCGTTATAAAGATACGAGTGGAAGAGTTCCAGTGCCATATAAAAGGATGTGGTATTTGCCTTTGACGGAAAGGTTGCAGAGGTTGTATCAGTCTGAACGCACAGC